ACAATTAACAGTAACAGTATTGTAGAAATTCATTTCACCGAAACAATAACGTGGCGCACAGTGTGACGTCAGAAAATGCGCACACCTTTGACGCTGCGTTTTCTCCGTTTTTCTGTCCACACTAAATGCAAAAACGGAGTTTTAGAAAATATCCACCCTGGCCAGAATTTTTAAAAAATCTCCGTTTTCAGTGACCAAAAACGCCGTTTAAGTGTGGACGAAAGGTGCAAACATAGAAAAATCTGCGTTTTCAAAAATACCCGGGTACGTGTGGACGTAGCCTGAGAATGGTGGACGTGAACATCCGGTTTCGTATGTTACGCTTACGTCGCGTGTTGGAGTGAAATGTAACGTTTCATGTAAAATGTAAAAAACAAAACTAGCTACTGTAAATCTGACGTCACAGGGTTGAGAGGGGGAATATCTGAGTGTCCAGCTGCTGAAGATCATTTGAGAAGCTTTACACTAAAATAAAACCCCGAGCGTGTCTGACTCTGTAAGCGGGACTCGGATTGTCCTGAAAGCGTGTATTTGCAGTGAGTGGGAGGTGGTGGATTATGTAGCATCTTTTACTGAGTGGGTTCATGCACAGGTTCTTCTTTACAAAGATGACGATGTCACAACTTTTACACTGAATGTTACAGTCGGCAATTAAAAAAAAAAATCCCCCTCCCCCTGTCTGGGAATCGTACTGACGATCAGCTCGTCGATGATGCATTTATTGATTTTCTTGATACTGTGCACACTTGCATGTTCCCGCTGCAGAGGAAACAACTGTCTTAAATAACTGAGGTCAGTCTAATGTGCTATTGATGAGTAACCTGCACACCATGTATGCACTGTGAACTGAAATAAACGATACTGTTTGATGCTTCTGCATCTCCCGACTCCTGACGCTTTGTGCTCACGTGGACAGAATCAGTATTTGATGGTGGATTACAAACCACACGGGGACTTCCTGTGGTGTGGATCCGTTTTAATCATTTCATTGGGTGATGATCTCAATAAACAAGGCTAAAGCTCTAAATAACAACCTCAGAGTTTAGTTTGTATGATGTCACTCTTCTCAAATGTTTGCGAGGGGCAGCCAATCAGAAAAACAAACATCACTTAAAGGGGGAGGAGCAAGAATAGTTTAAGAAACCCAGGAATCATTCAGAGGATGGAAGTACAGACGTGGAAATGAGCGGAATAGTTCTCCTTCACAATAAAGTGTAAGACGTGAATGACAACAAACTCAGTTTAATAAACATTTTGATCGAACTCAAAATTTGAAAATGGAAAAATCACAGTAATAAAAATAATCATTACAGTATGTACAACTTCAATGGCTGCCTGGACAAATAAAATGCTACTAATCCTAAAACATGAATCTGGGACTAAAGAGCTGCCACTGAAAAATGAACTTGGCACCAAAGTGGATTCATCAGAAAC